TCTTCTCACCCCCAGCCTGCCGCTAATGCACCGCGATCGTCTGTCCTGGGGCCTGCAGTCCGACTGTGTGCTGTTCTGCCTTGTCTAGGGGCCAGGGCCTCTCTGCGCCTGCACCCCCGCCTCGCCCCACTGAGGGCCCGCTCTCTGTGGGAAGTACGTGAAACATGGTTTTCCATCGCTGGATTAGCCGTGTGACCAAGGAACCCTGGTCGTGATTTACTTTCCTTGTGGTTTTACAGCAACTCCTTTTACATAAACATGGGCTTTTCCACATTACCCCCAAAGGAGAAGCAATAAAAAGTGAGTTCTCTCACCACCACCCAGAAAACCGGATGCTCCCGTGACCTGCAGGGCGCTAACCCCCCGCACCAGGCTGAGGGGGTGGGTTGAGCCACACACCCACTGACACTGGCCTGCGTCCAAACTCTTCTCTTCGCCAGCCCTGGGCAGACCCCACGAAAGCCAGTGCCTGACAGAGACAGGCCACAGGTGCTGAGGGCTGGTCCCTGCTGAGCCACAGGCCCTGCTGTGCTCTGACCCCAGGGGCCGAGCACAGGGCGGGAACCTTGGCCTCGGCTGCCTTCTGTGCCCCATTTCTGCAGAGGCCGACTTGTCCGACAATCCGTGTGAAGGAACTGACCTACCGAGGCCTGACAACACAGCGGCCCCGTGCCAGTGGGGCGGCTCCCGAGCTCACTGGAGGCCTGGCTGACCTCGGGTTGCTGCCCCACTGACAGGACCCACTCAGGGACAAGAGGTCTCATGGTGCCCCTGTCCTGGAGAGCACATGCCTCTCATCGCAGCCAGTGTCTGGGCTCACTGGTCCACCAGCCGGACCCAGACCGCTCCCCAGACAACGCGTCCTGCTGAGCTCGAAGCTCCACTCTGCCTTTTCTCCACCGGCCATGACCGCAGTTGGGGCCGCAACAGCCCCCGCAGAGGGCAGCTGGCCAGCTCTGCTCTAGCAGTGCCTTCTCTGCAAGGGGCCAAGGGCCACAGGCCGGCTGCGCCGTCGTCACCGGCAGAGCCGCACAAGCCCGTTGGGAGCTGCCCGTCCCAGCCACAATACTCACACGGGCCCTTCCTTGTGGTCTGGGCTTGACTCTTCCTTGGAGAGTGCTTGGGCCCCCAGAAGAGCGAGAGCAAACCTCCTGAGTCCCCTTCATTCCCCTCTCAGAGTGAGGCCCTGCTCCCTTCCCCTCACTCCAGGCCCGTCAAGCCTCACAGGAAAGCCCACTCAACCTCGGCCATTCCCAGGCCCCAGGGGAAACCGCAGCCGCCCGGAGCCCATCTAGCTGACGGCAGCCTTCCAACTGCAGCTTCTCTGGGAGGGGGTGCTTTCCGGCACAGCCACAGAGGGATGGAAGACCAGGATCCTGTTGGCCCCCGTGCAGGGACACACATGAGCTGTCCTGGTCCCAGCCCGGCCCCGGGGAGACACACCCTGCCCACGCCCCCGTGTGCAGGCTCCGGGGAGCTGGGGGGTGGTGAACTGCCCAGAAGAGCGGCAGGCCTGGGGAAGGGCCGAGGCCCAGTGTCTCTGGCACAGACCAGAGGGTGCCGCATCCCTGCCCCCAGGAGGCAGCCTCTCAACGGAAGAAACAAGTCTCTCATCACCCAGTCCCACGGCAAGGGCTCGGCTGTCCTGAGCTCGACTCTGGCCCAAGGGCAGCCCCTCACCGTCTACGACTCCAGAGAGGACAGCCAAACCCACTGGGAGGAGGCAAGCTGGGGGGCTGCATGTGCTGATCTGGGGGGTGGGGCACACCGGTGACTTGCAGCTTCCCCTCCACTGCAGGCCAGGCACTCCTGGGAGGATGCCCGGGGAGAGGCAGCTCGGACCCCCAGGGTGGCAGGCAGCTCGGTGCCCCTTCCCCACCAGCATGGAACTACACACCTCCCCTGAGCAGCCCATCAGACAGGACCCTGCATGCGGTGCGGCAGGGCGTCTCGAAGAAGACGAGCCGTCCTCTCCGACCCCCCCTCCCCCCCCCCGCAGCGAATAGGAGAAACCCCTCGGCCTCGCTGAGTGGGCGGTGCAGTCACCCCAGCCTGCGAGGGCAACCAGCGCCCACCCCCACTCCGCACACGGAGGAGCCCAGCGGCCCCCCGTGAGTCACAGAACCTGAACACGACGACACAGCAGGACTGCGGCCGCCCAAGCCGGGGGTATAAGAACCAGTGGGAGCAAGGATGCCACAGCTCGCTCCTCAGAAAAGGCAGCAAGATGTGAAATTGGAGCCAGAAGTGACTCTGCTGTAGATTTCCGAGCCAAACCCCCAGCTGCTTCGGTGGTCCCGGGCCCCGTCTCCATCCCCGCACCCTGCCAGGCTGTACGAAGACCCAGAGTCAACCACCCGAACCTCTGTCCCTCAGGAGTCTGGAGGCAGCGGAGGGAGCCCGGCAGGAGCCGGGCGGGAGCCGGGCAGGAGCACTCCAGCTGTGGGAGACGGCCCCTCCCTGATCACTGGTGGTTTTCTAGCTTCTGGCAAAGGGACTCATGTGTCACTCAGCAACATCCCCACGAGAACACGAAGGGGAATGTCGGGACTGTCTGGGTACCCACTGAACGCTCATCTCAACCAAGCAGACAGGCCTGGCAGCCACGGGGGCCTCGCGTGGGTGGGAGAGGAAGCTCCAGGGAAGAAGGCCTGAAGGGAGTGCCAGCCCCCACCGTGGGACAGACAGGTGGGCGGTCCTCAGGCCTTCCCTCTGTAGAGGACACCCAGCTGGGCCCAGGTCCATGTGGCAGGAGGAGACAAGGCCAGGCCAGAGCAGCCGAGGCTTCTGGCTCCTGGTCCCCGTGAGCCTCAGGGGTTGACTGCCTTGCCCAGGAAGAGGGCACCTGGGGACCACAGCACAGTGTGCGTTCTCTCCGGGGGGAGGGCTCCGAGAGGAAGCAGGGGGCGTACCCATGATACACAGCCCCCGCCCCAGGAATGGCATGAAGGGTTGTGAGGAACGGAAAGTCTCCCCAGGGAGAACCCAGGCTCCACGGTCCGGAGACGGCACCCAGAGGACGGCTGCCGCAACAGCATGTCTCCTTGCAGGGCTCCCGCCTCGGCCTGACACCTGGTCTGGGTTCACGGCTCCCATCTAACAGGGCTGTGACCCATCCCCAGTTTTCAACAGTACCCCGGACTCCTGTCCCCGTCACCTCCTGGGCCAGACTCTTTCCTGGACCTGGGGGCAGCCTCCTCCTCACCCCCGCGTCTGCCACCAGCCAGACACTAGCACCTTGCCGGCGGCTCACAGTGGCCCTTGGCCTTGAGCCCAGCAGTTACAGGGTTAGTGGGGCACCCACTCCTGCCACTGCCGGGTCCCCCGGCCACACCACCCCTCGGGGGAGGTGGACTTACTGCTCTGCTTCCGAACAGCCAGCACCCGTCCAGCACACTCCAGTCACCGGGCAGGCCCACTGTCCCACCCCACCCTGGAGGAAACAGGCTCTGGGGGTGACGTCGACTGCCCAGGCTGTGAATGGTGAACTTGGCCCTCAAATCCAGGAGGGCAGCTGTGCCCAGGCTCTCTCCAGAGGGGGCTCACTGGGCTGAGCAGCGCAGCCTGAAACCCAAAAGGGGACCTCTGTTCCCCACAGCTGCCAGGGACATGCAGGGCCGACTGAATCCTGGCTGCTTAGAATGTGGTGCTGAGCTGGGGTCAGCGTCCCAGGGCTCAGTTCAGGGACCAGGGACGTCCCAACCTGCAGCCACACACAGAAGGGCCAGGGCAAAGAGCGTGCTCTCTGGCCACCACCTTGGGGGCCCGGCTTGCTGGCTGTGATCCCCGAGTGCCACACAAGAACCCCTGGGAGGCGAGGTTTGGTTGGCAGGCGGACTTCCCGATGGAGCCATCCTGGGGTGGGTGGCAGGGGACAGAGTGCCAGAGAGGCCCCAGCCACAGGTCAGGCCGCCAGAGAACCTTCACCTACTCTGTGGATCCAGTTTCTCCCCCAGCTGCTAACACATAAACTTCCATGAGCACTCCAAAAATGGGGATGGGAAACATTTTGTTACACTCTTCGGGACCCAAGGGCACTATTTTTAACCGTCTTCTCAGACTTAGTTTTACTTTATCCCATGCGGTCCTCGTTGGCCCCACCCTGACGTCTCCCTGGGTGAGCCCGTGAAGAACGCGGGGCAGGTGCGGCTGCTCCTGCCAGGACTGAGGGGGATTCTTAGCACACCGCTCCTCTCTTAGCACAAGTCTTAGCACACTGCTCCTCTCTCTCTCTCAGCATGCGCCCGCTCCGGGTGACCAGGTGACCGGTTCGAAAAAATGTCCGCACGATGCGCCACAGTCCAGCTGGCCCCCAGGCACAGACGCAAGACCTGTCCCGCAAGGGTCCTGCTTTCAGTGGGCCAAGCGTGCGCCCCAGCTGGGACACCAGGACTCGCTGTGAGCCACGTGATGTCGGGGCTTCTCCCACTCAGCCCAAACCCAGAGGTGGGGAAAGGCCGCCACGCCGTGTCCACTGCTGTCACAGACTAAGGGCTTCTTTGCGTCCCCCCACACCCTCGCTCTACCCATGAGTGGGGCTGGGAGATGGCCGTCTGCCTGCCAAAGCCAAGGAAGGAGGGGCCTGAGGACTTTGAATCCCGCCTTGTCCGCCCCCCATCTTGCCACTGCCCCCTAGATGTTCCCGGCACCTCAGCCAGAGCAGCCCCTCTGCCCCAGAAGAAACGCCCCCCAACACGCCTGCCAGGCTGGCGCCACCTCCGGTCATGGTCATTTACCTGGACACTGCCACCCCGACGTCTGCTCTGCACCTCGAACCCATACACACTCCACAGGGCCAACGAGGGTCAGCCCTGGGTGGGCACGCCCTGGCAGGATCTGGCACTGGTCATCTGGGGGTCCAGTGGCTTGTCAGGACTCAGGCAGCTCTGAGAGCCAGGGTCCCAGGCAGGCACTGCCGTTTCAACCACTTGGGCTGGAAATGGGTCCGTCACAGTCACGATTCTGAGTGTGGACGGCGGGCGGAGCTGCGCGTGGCCTACCTGGGTGAGGATGTCCAGCTGGCCCACAATGTGCTCTAGCGTGCTGGTCAGTGCCTGCGGCACGCTGCTGGGCTCTGGCGGCGGGCTCCGCACCGACTCCTGGCTCCTACCTTCGCCCGCGGGGACGGGGAAATCCACTTCCGGCTAAAGATAATGAGAGAAAAGGGGGCCTCAGGCCTGAGCGAGTGCTCGAGGGGGCACTGGCAGGAGCAGCCCCTCCAAGGGGCTGGGTGGAAAATCACCAGCAACGGTGAGAACAAAGGCTCCAAAGGTCAGGGAGAAAAGGCCACAGCGGGGACCCCCAGTCCAGGCCTGCACGCCCTCTTCCAGGCCTTCCCCGCAGAGCAAAGGCCCTGAGTGAGGGGGGTCAAGCGCCTAGCAGTTGGGACTGAGGGGTTGGGGAGTAGGTGGGCCAGAGAGCACTCTCAGCCGTGGGCTAGAGGCCCCGGCTGCTTCCAACGAGGCTTGGAGTTCCTGCCAGAGATCCTTCGGTCTCCAAATGTAGAAGCCAGTCCCCCAACTCTCCACCACCAAGGACCGTGACTTCATAAGGGGACTCATGCTGGCCCCATGTGTCCCCCAAGTGGGGCACCCACAACCCCCCTGTGGACTTGTTCCCTGTGGGAGTGACGTGCTAGGTGAGGCCCAAGCTCTCGGCTGGCCCTGGAGCCCTGGAGCCCACCATGGTGGCCGCCCTGGGCTCAGGGGCCTTCCAAATGCTGCCACGTCACGCCCGGCTTCACCAGGCCCCCAGGGCTCTCCACCAGCTCCGGAAGCCAACTCCAGCCCTGACCAGGCATCCAGCTCCAGCCTGCCTCCCCTGCCTCTGCACTGGGAAGACGCCCCACAGTGGTGGGCGGCCCCACCCCAGCCGGCTCCTCCAGCCACTGCATCTCAGGACCTGGGCAGGACAAAGCAATCCCAGCTCTCCCCAGGCCCGCCACCCACCCATGTCTGTGTCCCTGCCCTGTCTCTCGCCTGCACTCATCATCCCTCTGCCCTCTGAACCCAGGAGAACCCTGGGCTCGAAGCTTGCCAGCTACCCATGCACCACAGAACAGCGGTGGCCTGCATGTTTTCCTATATTAGGAAAGTGTTCTAATCTCCTGGATAACAAACTCTTGAGTGTACATCAGCTTGAACTTGGAAAAATGCGGGCCCTGGTGGTTCGAGACCTGAAGCCAGAGGGGATTCCTGAAAACAGAGCCTCGCCACCAGGATGTGTGCTGCGGTGCGGGGCCCCTCTGTGAGACCCCACCCACAGCGCGGGGCTCTACGTGTCCGGGGGGGGGGGGGGGGGGTCAGTGCGCTTCAGCTGTGAACACCAGAGGCCCAGCCCGAAGGGGAGCGTTTCAGAGGAGGCCTCCCAGGCCTGCACCTCCCAGCCACGGCCCTCAGGCCCAGAGGCTCTCTCGGGAGGCTGCGGGGCGGAGGCGAGAGCAGCAGCTTGGCCCACGCCGAGCCCCAGCAGTGAGAGCCCCAGCAGTGAACGGCTGAGAGACCTCCACCCCTCCTCTGTGAAGTGGGGGTGACGACCCCCGCCCTTCAAGGAGCTGGGATGGGGAAGTGCTCGTCTGAGACCGCCAGCAGGCCTTTCTGCAGAAGGGACACGTTCACAGTCCTGTGCCCACTAGGCCCAAGGACCCCAATTTCAGACCCTGTCCTCTCGGCTCCCTCAGGAAAAGCCCCCAGAGGAAGGGTGGGAGCCAGGCACCCTGTACCCTGACAGTCACACCCTCAAGCAGCGGGCAGATCCTGCTGCCTGCTGTGCAGGAAGGAGGTGATGGAGGCTCTGAGTGTTTCTGCAGAACGGTCCAGAAACCGCACAGGGGCTCTTGAGGCAGAGGGGGGTGGGGGGCTGTGGGGAGGCGCTGGCCTCAAGCCCCACTCTTGAGGGCAGGGCCCTGCCGCTGGGCTGCACCTCTGGCTGGGCACACAGTCTCCGTGTCACCCTCACCAAGACACAGTGCCCCCCCCCCTCCCTGTGCACTCTCCTCAGCAGATGGCACAGCACAGAGAAATGGCACTCACCGCCGTGAACTTGTCACCTGGGTGCCAGCAATTTGAATGTGTCACTTTGTTCCCCTCTACCCACAGTCCTTCACAGCAGGCACCACTAACCTGCTTCGTAGGAGGGGGGCAGGTTCAAGGGGGTTGAGTGGCTCACTCTGAGTCACCCGGGATGGGCGGTTCCTGGGCGTGGGGCAGCCTCTGACAGGGCCCACCACCTGTGGTTTTGCCTCCACGGGCCCGGCTGCTCTTCCGTCCCCACAGACACCCCCAGCCGCTCAGCGTGACACTTTCTGGGCCATTCCCCTGCCCTCCTGCCCCGGAATGCCTTCGGGCACAGAACTGAACATAGAACAGGCCCTCTGCAAACAACCAATGCCACAAAGAGCCAGCCCCACCGTGGCGACATCCCTGTGCAGCGACACCTTCCCAGGACCGGGCCGGCAGCCCCAACCCACCCCATACTGCAGCCCCGCACCGGCACTCCGGGGCTCTCTGGAGACGTGGTATTTCCCTGAGAGCTGGGCAAGTAAGCGATAAAGCGGAAATGAGGTGACGGGCGAGACTGGGAAGACATGTGCACAGGGCTGTGAGCAGTAACGGCGGCAGGACGTGCAGAGCAGCGTTTAAAGGGAAAAACCGTAGACACTGAAATAGAGAACAAGGGGACAGTGACCAGAGGGGAGAGGGAAGGGAATTTAAGGGGGGCAGGGGAGAGGGATTTGGAGGAATAAATGTGAAGGACACAGGGACGAGAGCTGGGGGGGTGGAGATGGGAGGGAAGTGGGGAGCACAGGACGGGGGGGATTGGGATGGGAGAAATAGACAAAAAACTGTACTTGAAAAATAACTAAATAAAACTAAAGAATAAAATAAAGAGAAAACCGTATCAGCACTTTGCCAATTATCGAAGGGTCCCAGGGGCCGCCTGGCGGCTCTCGGTGCCTCACAACATTCACCCCCACACACACCTGTGGGGCTGCACCAAGTTGACAACTGACTTCCTTTATTTTTCTCTTAAAGGTTTTATTTCTTTAGAGGGGAGGGGAAGGAGAGAGGGAGAGAATATCAATGTATGGTTGCCTCTCATGTGTCCCCTGCTGGGAACTGGCCTGCAACCCAGGCATGTGCCCTGACTGGGAATCAAACCGCGATCGTGTGGTTCGCAGGCCCATGCTCAATCCACTGAGCTACACCAGCCAGGGCCCTTCCTTCCTTTTAAAAAAATGTTTTGGTGCTCTATTTACAGTTGTTAGAAAAAAAAAGATTGTATTTATTTTTAGAGAAAGGAGAAGGGAAGGAGAAAGAGAGGAAGAGAAACATCAACATGTGGTTGCCTCTTGTTTATTCCCTACTGGGGACCTGGCCCACAATCCATGCATGTGCCTCAACTGGGAATCGAACTGGCAACCCTTTGGTTTGCAGGACACTCACACCACTGAGCCACACCAGCCAAGGCAGTTGACCACTTTCATTGTTGCCAAATCTTAACATCGAAACAGAAAAACAGGTGCGACTTGAAGTCGAGGACAGAGGACCCTGTCTGACTCTGCAGAAAGCTCACCTGGGGTCCCAGGTTCCCCTACTGCCACCTACAAACATGTGTTGGCTGGAATCCCAGGAGAAGAAAAGAGACATTTCTTTTAAGAAAGTTTGCTGGTTTATCTGAAGAGTCTTTATTTCTCCATTCCTAAAAGATATTTTTGCTGAGCATAGAACCCTGGGTTAGCAGGCTTCTTTCCCCTTTGAATACTCTGCAGAGGTTACTTAAGTGCCTTCTGACTTGTGGGATTTCACGTGAGAATGACTCTGTGACTCCAACCTTTGACCCCTGTGTGCAAGGCGTCTCCTTTCTCCGTCTGCCTTCAAGCTTTTTTTGGTTTTCAGAAGCTTCAGTACAGTTTGTACTGGGTTTTATTTTGTGTTTTTCTTCAGCTTTCCTGTCATTTCTCCGAGCTTCCTGGATCTGTGGTTTGATGCCTTTCATTGTTTTTAAAAAATTCTTGGCTGTTATCTTTTCAATAGCACCAAACCCCCCCAAAAAACGTGTTGCTTGTTTCCTAGGGCTGCTCTAGAAAATGGTCACTTGGTGGCTTAAGACAACAGAAACTTATTCCCAGAGTGTGGAGTGAAGGTGTCGTCAGGGCCCCAGTCCCTCTGGAGACAGGAGGAGAGCCCTTTCTCGCCTCTTCAGCATCCCGGGACCGCGGGGCCTTGGTGCACTCCAGTCTCCGCCCCGGCTTTCCGGCCCACCCAGCCATCCAGGATGCGCTCATCTGGAGACCCTCAACTTCATCACAATGACAAAGACCCTCCCCAAATAAGGTCACGTTCATAGGTTCTGGGTGTCAGGGCAGATGTATGTTTTTGGGACAGGGTGACTGCTCGACCCACTGTGGAATGCTGAGATACAGATCGAACCTCACAGACACGACGTCTGTTTGCTGACCTCAGCGGTGTGACACAGGGGTGAGGACACAGGGGTGAGGACACCGAAGGAGACCAATGTCAATGAAGAAATGCGCCGCGTTCTGGCACTGCAGGCTTAATTGGTTTAAGATGTCCAAAACCACCTGCCCGAATGAAAAAGCTGATTCTAAAACTTACAGGAACAGGCAAAGGAAGGAGGAAAGCCAAAACCGTTTCTGAAAAAAAGGAACATCGGAGGACGCACCTCTGGGTGACTCTTGACACTCAGGCTGAAGCCACAGCCCAGAGACGTGCTTCAGGTGAGGGCACACACAGAGCCACGAAACAGACAGGATCCAGAGGCAGACCCACGGATCCCAGGCCCATTAATTTTTTAAAAATTTTATTTATTTATCCTTAGAGGGGAAGGGAAGGAGAGAGGGAGAGACATATCAATGTATGGTTGCCTCTCGTGCATCCCCTGCTGGGAACTGGACCACAACCCAGGCATGTGCCCTGACTGGGAATCGAACTGCGATCCTTTGGTTCGCAGGCCTGTGCTCAATCCACTGAGCTATGCCAGCCAGGGCCGTTAATTTTTTTTTAAGATTTTATTTATTTCTAGAGAGAGGGGAAGGGAAGGTGAAAGGGAGAGAAACATCAACATGTGGTTGCTTCTTGTGTGTCCCCACTGGGGACTTGGCCCGCAACCCAGGCATGCGCCC